CTCCTCCTTCCAAAGAGCTATAGTGTAAACACTTGAAGGTTTCCTTGCCTCAAGTACCACACCACGTTGAAGGATACAACTTTTGATCAAACTTCTTGATTAAAAGGGGGTTAGATCAACTTTCTCACAAGTTGGTCTTGCAAGTCCTATTGTTCGGATCTTGCAGTTGTTGAAGAAGCTTGACCTTCGAAGGAACAACAAAGCCAGCACGAGTGCAGTAGCAACATTGGTCTTGCGAAGATATACCGTGCAGAAATTCACACAAGTGTAATTGTTGGTTCATTATTCAACAACCAACTACATAGTGGATTTTGAGGACGTAGAAGGATTACCCCACCTTCGAACCTCGTTAAAGTTTGCGTGTCTCTCTCTTTTATCTTCACTCTTACTTGCAATTATATTAACTGTGAAAACTAACCCATCCATATTGATTACTGCTCACTCTACCCACCAAATTCCGCAGACAATCTAAAGTTCACAAGAACTCTAGATTAACACTTATTTTCACGTTTTCAAAAGAAACAAAAAAGATTTTAAATTTGTAACAAAGTCTATTCACCCCTCCTCTAGACTTTGTATCTCACCACTTTGGGACCACCAATTGGTATCAAAGCAAACTTCTCACTATCTACGTTTAGATTAACGAGAAGCGACCATAATGGTGAACAATATGGATCATGGTTTGCCCAAGTTTTCTCTTCTAGGTTATGATGATTGGAAGATCATGATGGAAGCACATCTTTACGCTCTACATGACTGCATGTGGATGGTGCTTGAGGATGGACCCCTGAAAATCCAAATGGAGAATCCTGAGAAGAATCCAGAAACTCCAGATGTAGTCCAGTACATTCCAAAGCCCAAGGAAAATGGGATGATAGAGATTGCAAAAAGCACAATCTGGACAACGTCGCCAAAGCAGCCATCTTCAAGACACTTGATCTCATCACCTTCTCCAAAATCAAGCATCTCAAGACTGCCATGGAGATATGGCAAGGTCTTGGGAAGCTGTGTGAGGGATCAGAAGACCTGAGAAAGCAGAAGATAGAAGTCCTGCTTGAGAAGTTCAAAAGCTTCAAAATGCTTCCCGGAGAATCGTTTGATATGTTGGATGACAGATTCCACAAAATCCTGAACGATCTTGCCTCACTTAACCACGTTCTTTCTCCCAAAGAAAAGAATGTAAGGTTACTGAGATCACTTCCAACCGAGTGGTACACCAAAGCCACAGCCATGGAAGTGTTGAAACACGGGCTTGTCACGTTTTCGTACTAAAGCCGCATTCGTTTTTGTAACAGGTTTTGATAATGCCAAACCGCCGTGATCAAGACAAACATTGAGTATACAAGGCGAAGAACGAAGATAAAGAACGAGAGCTAAAAGAGACCAAGAACGAAGACCGAAGTCCTTAGCTTTGTTGAGTCGGTCATAATTGTAATCAAGACCGACCCAACCCTCACGCATTGGCTCTTTAGGCTAAA